TTAATTTTACACAAATTATAATATATTAAGGTTTTTGTTATTGGCTTTTACATTTTGCGTAACGCTTATTTAAAACGTTGATAACTTTATTCAATATTTTATTTTAAAAAAATTTCTATTTTGGTGAATTAAACTATTTAAATTATTTGATATAGTAACTATTTTTAAACTTCTGCGTGCATATGAACTTTACATTTTTTGAAAATTTATTTTTAAATTATTCTTAAACTTATTTATATATAATTAATCAAGTCTATTGTTTAATAATTTTTTAAATTTAATTCTTTTAATCACTGCTCTCTTTAATTTCTGATTTCTGTTTTTTTAGTCACCCTTGGATTTTTCGACGACATTTTAATTCCAGCTGATTGTTTACAAAAACCAGCGCAGTTGTAATGCTTTATTTATTAACAGGCCAATAAAACTCTGATGAACCCACCAATAAATGTTTTAATATTGGAATTAAAAAATAATTTAACTTTTATATAATAATAATTTTTTTAAAAAAAAATTGTTTTTAAAAAAGTTTAATAATTAAAAATATAAAATTAATTTTATATCCAATAACATTGAAATTAGTAATAAAGCTCTATAATTTTCCAATTAAGAATAAAACAAATCGTTTGATATAATTAGTAAACAATTATTACAACTTTATTTTCTGAATTTACATACAAAAGAAGTTTTAAAAATTTAATTTATCAATTTTTTTTTTATTTAATAGTAAAAATAATATAAATGGTTTAATAGTAAACAAATGTTATAAAATAATTCTAATAAGCGACCAAATTAATTATGATATATTTACTCCGAAACTGTTTTTTTACATAATAAATTAATTTTTTTATAATAATATTGTAAGAATTTCATATAAAAATTTTTATTATATTATTGTATATTATAATTAAGAGCTTCTAAACTTATTATTTTGTACAAAATATTAAATATATATAACCTATATTTTATATAACAAAAGAAGCTATTTGTTTACTTATTAATAATAAGATATATAAAAATTTTAATAACTTAAAAAAATAGCAAGTAGTTAAGTTTTTTATTACACTTTTATAATGTTAATATCAATAATAATAAAACTTTTATTTATTATTTATTATTTATTTATAATAACTTTGAACTTCATAACAGGAAAACTTAGAATTTACTTATTATTGTTATTTTTAAATATAATAATTATTATTTAATATATAAACGTATACTTTTATATATAAATTGCTAGTAAAAGTTGTGTTATTAAATATTTTTTATCTTTAAAAACTTTACTAAAGTATATAATATATAATTTTGTATATTTATATTTTTTTCTTTTTATAAATATTTATTTATTATATAAAATAGTGATATTATATGTCTATTATTAATTCCTTATACTGTATATTTATGAACTTTTTATTTTTATTATTATAAAACTTCCTGATATTTTTATGTAACATAACTATTCTTAATAATAATTTTAAATATATATAAATATAACATATTCTTCATTTTTATATTAAAATATGTATATATTATTGTATATGTTATAATTTTTAAATTATTAATATGTTGCAACCTTTTTTCTTGAACTTTTTTTCTTGGGTTATTATTATATTTATAAAGCGATGTGGAAGAACAACTTTGGATCTGGAAGTACCAATCAGAAGAAGGCACGCACGACATGTATCTTGATATAAATCAGCCAATCAGATTTAGAATAATTAAAGAAATGTTCAACGACGTTCCACCGCTCTCGAAGTTTTCCTCGTCCAGCGTTGGTTCCCCGTATGTCTTGCTGGTATTTTTCTACTGTTATTATTTATTATTAGTTCTGGTTATCTTTTGAAATATATAATAAAAAAGTTAGTATATATATAAAAAAGAACATGTAATAATAATAACATATAAGAGTTAATAAAAGAGTGTTTTAATAAATATTGATTATTATTAAATAGTAAAAAATAAATATTTTAAATAATGAAACTAAAATTTTTTTTATTACTAAAAAATTTATATAAAAATAATGGGTATAAATGTTATGTAAAAATAATATTTCTATAATTATTATTTATAGGAAACATTAAACTTCTGTTATTACTACGAATTTTATAATAAAATTTTTCTTATTTTATTTATTTTGTTTATTTATATGTAACACTACAATTATTTTTATCATTATTTTATATATTCTCTTTTAATTGTTATATTTGTTTTACTACATAATTTTTTTCATATAATATTATTTTATAGAAAATAATATATTTTTATTACTGCAAAATTTGCTATTATTTAAATGTTAATTAATTTTTTATAATATTTTTAAATATTTTTTTTATATTTTCTTTTTTTATACGAATTTATTATAAATTTTATTACACTATAAATCTTATGTAAAAATTTATTATTCTTCTTCTCTAGTGTTTATAGTATGAGGGTAGTGTTCAAGGGCAGTGCACATGTGGTTTATATAAGTTTCATTCGTCCATCCGCTGCAGTTTTTATTTCTTTTTGATGATTGTTGTGCAATTTGGTTTGGTGCGCTTAGAGAGTCTATAATAATTAGATAAACTTACAGTACTTTCTAGTACTTCGACTTTCTTATATTATATCACTTTAATGTCTATAAAATACGTTATATCTATATTATATTACTTTGCTCTCTATTAAATACAAGTTTCCGAGGACTGACAGCTGTGAACAGAAGAGAAAAATTTTACTTTATTATATATATATAAAATATACTTTTTTATGCTTTTAATAATTTTTTACTTGTTGATAATTTTTATATATATTTAATAAATATTTATAATTTATTATTATTATTTTATTAATGTGATTTTGCTTTATATAAAAAATTGTTATATATTTATTATTATTTGTATAAAACTTTGACTACTCATAATTTTATATATATAATTTTATAATTATCAAATATATTTAAAAAACTTAACTTTACTAATTATTATTATGGATATTTCTTTTAATATATTAATAAAGCTTTATACATATATTATTTCTTTATAAAAAACTTTTTTTATATTCATTTCGTTTAATATTTTGAACTTTTTTTCTTTCATTATTATTAATCCACAGAGCTTATAATATTTATTATTATTAATTATATAAAAACTCAAACTTTTTCTGAGTGCTACAATTTCTTTTATGTTTTTTTTTCTTATTATAAAAATATTTAAGTATTTTATTTACTTTTTATCATCCTTTTTAATTTTTTATTTATTTATCATTATAATATGTAAAGAACTATTATATGAAATAAAATTCTTATAGGCAACTATTGATGAGGAAGGACTTGGATTAACGTCTTGGTGGAGTTAAAAATTTAAAAGTAACTTTGAAAGTTATTATAATAAAGTTTATATTATTTTTTCGCCATCATAGAAAGTTTTTTAATTATATATACCACATAACTTTACACATGGATATCATCCACCACACGTGACCAACTTCAATATTAACACGTGAACAATACTTTGCTTACAACACGTGGTAAGCATGCGCTTGTAACACGTGCGCTTTGTTATAGTTCTTACTACGCGTGTTTTACTGTGTTACATCTAGTCTCCCTTTTTTTGGGATATCACCCCATCTTTTTTCTTTTTATTCATTAAAACGAAAAATAGAGGTTATATTAATGACTTCGTGTGTATTACTATCTTCATGCTCGCTAGAATAAATACTGTAGAGGGCTAAGGATTGGGGTCAACTTAAAAGTTTTTTCTTCGGCATAGTAGCATTCTTTTGTATTAAATAAGAGGCGTGTTGGCTAATTTTTTTTTACTCAGAATGGTTTTATTTAGAGAATATTATAGTATATAGTTATAATCTGGATAATAGCTCAGTGCATATTTAGAAATTTGTTTTCCTTTGATAGTTTCTTTATATTTTATGGTAAGGACGATATTAAATAGGATCTGAGATCTAGTTCAGTAGTCGAGACTTTGTTAAATTAGTAAGCATTAGACGTTTTAATAATCTTTATTTTAATCGATTTTTACCTTTTTTAAGGTTTTTTAAAAAGTTCTGTTAATCTGTAGCTTTAATATACACCATGATAATGAACGGATGTTTTAAATTATATATTTATTGTGGGATTATAGTTTCTTTAAAGCTTTAAGAGGGAAATTAGCCTTTTTTTTTCCTATAATTTTCAAGGTTAAGATGCTATGTATTAACTGATTGGTGGGCTTATAATTTTTTTATAATAAAAATTGTACAATTTCAAAGTGTTTGTTAAAAGTCTAATCCCAGTACAAAAAGGTAGTGTTTTTATCATAAGAGCTCTTAATTTTTAGTTCAGTCTATTGGAAGTTTTCTATATAAAAATAAATCTTATACACCTCCAAACTGTACAGATCTGTTCCCAGTACAAAGTGGTTAATTTTCATCGTATTTCATACCACATAATTTTAAATTAAGAATTTGTAAGTAGTAATAATAACTATTAAGCCGAAAGTTGGATGTTAAATGTTTATTTTAGCCGCCGTTTAGCTATAAAGTCCAGTATTTTAAGCAGAATTGAATATGTTTTATAAGGATTAGGGCTATACCGTTTTCCGTAATATAAAATTATCGAGTATGCCAGCGTTCTTAGAGGGATGTTAGTTGCATAATATTTGTAAGAATTGCTCTGAGTTATCGACGATGACTTAGACATCAGGGGCTAAGTTATATCACTTTTTACTATATATTGCATGATTAATCTTTTACTTCCATAGTAAAAAGAATTTAAATATAAATTTGTATATTCTACCTTTTTACCTACAAATCATATATTAAATAAAATAAAACTCTTCATTTAAATACAAGAGCGCTTTATAAACCTAAGGTTGAGTATATTTATAAACTTCACTCTATTTTTTGCGGAAGAAACTATAACGCGCAGAAAGCAATTTTAAGTAATTTTTTAATAAATATATAAAATTTCAAGCAATCTACACTTCAAAATCACAAAATATATACTTTCTTATTTTACCAGTAAATTTTTATTAGATTCCATTAAAAACGGGGATCTCCTTTCCGGATACGACTTCACGGCGAATGCCCGACTGGTCGATGACGGCTAATCGTATTACACCTCCAGAAGAACCGTCTCGATTCATCGCAAGAGCAACAGCTTTTGTTTATTTATTTTAAAAAAAATATATTCGTTAACTTTATAAGATTAAAAAAATAAATATTTTTTGATCATTTATAATTTGCGTGTGCCTATTTTTTATTGCTTATATGATTAAACAAGCCAATGGCATAGAAAAAGGCTTTAAAAAAATTCAACAACCAATCAAAACCTTGCGCACGCTAAAAACGCCAATTAAATTTTCATTTTATATCAATTAAAATTTTATTAAACGCAGCACCAGTCATTTTAGTGAATCTTTCATGAAAAACAAACAAATCAATTGAACCAATCAAGGCTTTGTAAGCAGCTTTCGTTTACAATTGGAGATTATAAAAAATTATTCTTATAGTTCTTTTTGCTTCGAAAGTTCACAATTTTTTGATAAATATTATAACTGTTTTTGTTGGATAAGATTTTCACATTTTAACAACTTTTTGTTTCTCTTATTATACATGTTTTAATGTTTGTTTTAAAAAAAATTTTTTTCATTATAAATGTTGATTCTCAATATTATTTCATTAAGTTTTTTGATGTTCATATTTTATAAGTAATATTTTTTTTAACTTTCATTTCTTGTAGAATTTTTTTCAGTTTCGTAAAATATTATAATCAACGCTACATGTTTTGCAATATTTTTATACACAATGAAAAAATTAACGATGACAATATATATAAACTTTTACATAATATTATATATATATATATATATATTGTAGCTCAGTTCTAATAAGTTTATATAAAAATAAGTTTTTCTCGTATTAAAATGCTTCTTATTATTAGTTTATTCATGTTAACTAATATTACTATATTTATTGATTACGTGTTCTTTTATTTTTTTTATTATTGTTATTATTTAATAATTGTTAATTTTTTTTAATATTTTTAACTTTTTATAAGTGAGTATTTTATTACTAAGTATTTTGTTAACTCCCATTTATAATATATATAAATATGGTATATTTCTTGTTAGTAATATTAAAAAATTTACTTTATACTATATTTAATAAGATACAGTTTTGTTACTTTTATAACTTATTATAAAATTTGGTTAAAAAATATTTAAGTTAAAAAAATTTTATTTAGAAAGGTTTATCTAACTATTGTACTTTATAGTAAAATATATAAAAACAAAAAGATAAACAGTAATAAATATACATATATAACAAAATAATAGTAAAGTAAGAAAAACTTAATATTTTATAAAGAAGGTATATATACATTAAAATATATAAATTTTCTATAGGAAAAAAAATTCTAAATAATTATTTATATGGTAGAAGTTATAAAAAATTAGGAAATAGAAACATTATATTAAAAGTTTAAAAAGTTAATAAAAACAAAAAAAAAGAAAATAAAACAAAATGCTTACACATATACAAATGAATTTATTTAAATATGTAGTCATGTTTATTGGTTTATAATCGCATAAAAACTTAAAATCATTGGCCCAAAATAACTCGTCAGTTTCATTTGTAGTTTTAAATAAAAATTATTGGTTGAGGTTTTGATTTATATAACATATTGATTATTTTTATTGGCCAGTTTCCCGTTATGACGTAAATATATCAGTAAACCGAAAAATGTTAAAAATTATATTCGAGTGATTAAAGTATTTCATAAAAAAATTATTGTAAATATGAAATTTCTTAAATTATGTAATATTAATAAATATTTATGATATTAAGTACTTATTATTTTATAAGTAAAATAACGGTAAAATTATACATGAACAATAAAATATTTTGAAGAAACTTTTCTGAATAAAAATATAATTTATAAAAAAATTTACTACAAAATTTAAATTATAGTAATAAATGTAAAACTTTATTAAACGTTATAAAAAGTTTTTATAGCGTATATTTTTAGCAGTACTTAAAACAAAATAATAATAATAATACTAGTAATAATAATATATTAACCATTTTTACAAAAGTTCAAGCATTCTTCTTTGGACATGCCTTGGCGGTAGTTGGAGTCACAGTAGCCGTATATATACGAACTTCCAGAACCTTAAAATATTATTTATATAAAAAAATAATAGAAATGATGATAAATATAAAAAGTCATGTAATTACAAATATTATTAAAAATATATAAAAAAGTTGTTTAAGTTTTTATATTATATATAATAGTAAAGATTTTGTTGTTTAGTAAAAAAGTGATGTAAAAAGTAAAGTTTACAAAACTATAAAATGTCATAAAGCTGTGTATAAGTATAATAAATAATAATAATATTTATTTGATGCATCAAGCAAGGAATTGAAAGTACGTGCCGAACGGAACAACATTTAAAATTATTTTGATAAAAAAAATTAAACTTTTTAATAAATTAATTTTGTGAAACGCGCAGAAGTTATGAGATGAACTGTCCCATTAGAAAATATTTTTGGTCTTTTGCATTATTAACAAGTTGGCTTGCAATCTCATTGGTTGCTATCATTAACAAAGAGCCAATTAATGAAATTCATTGATAACAAATAGCCAAAGGTAAAATAGAACAACGCTAAAAGAGGCATAAGAGCTAGCAAAATAGTTAAATAGCGGCAGGTTGTTATGATGTGTGCTAATTTAATTTAGCATGTCAAATTATTAAAACCCTTGTCAATAAAAAAATTTATGAATATTGTATCAAATTACTGAAAAGCAAGCATTATTATTAATAATTCGACGCAATATAATATAATAATCGCTTTTTTAATTGCGCGTTATAAAGTTTAATGGTGCCAGTAAACGATAATAACCAAAGAGAATGGCAATAAAGTCTTTTTATAAACCAATCAAAGTTTAGTAATCAGCATTAGGATGTCAAATACCCAATATATTAGTAGCGGTAATAAGTTGCTGTAACGTGAGCGCATTATTTATTTAGTTTATGCGCATTTTTATCTGTAGCAATAAAATGGCTTACAAAGTCAATATTTATTTCTCTTTTTATATGTAAAATTGTATATACATTTTTTAAATGAAAGTTAATTATATTAAAGTACAAAGTGGTGGTTAACTGAGACAAATAATATTTAACTGATTAAGTTAAACATGCGCCTGGTAAGGGTATCAGTTAGTGAATAGTTTAAACTCAGGCAGTCAATGGTTAGATTTATAGAACAGTGCCGACCAGTTATTGGTAGAAAACTTTGTTTGATGCAAGTGGTGATGTAGTGTCAAAAAAATATTTGTACCTCCAATAGCGAAAGGCTGTCGTATGCACATGCCTCCCAACGGGATGGAGTAAACTTGCCCGCCGTTTTCTTTATCAAAGCCTCGCAGAATAATAGTAAAATATTAAAATTAATAAAAAAATAACTATGATAATAATTATTATAATAATAGTAATAATATCGCTTTGCATACAGTAAATAAATTATATATAATGCTTTATACAAAGTATTACAAAAAAACTTTATATATAAAAATGCTCTTTACTTACTAAAATTAAACTTTTTTTTCCCAAAATTTAGAGTTGTTTTTTAAATATTACTTCTGCTATAACAAAAACTTTTTAACGTGTATAATTATCTAAAAATTAAGCGGGCGGCTCAAGTGCTACTCACTAGACGAGTAAAAAATATATAACTTTTTACTTTTTGGAAGTTAACAATAATTTTAAATTAACTTAATTTAAAATATTCCAGTAATAAAAATTTTTATACTTCAGAAAATTTTATTAAGTAAATTTATGAAAATTGTTTACCAGCGCAAATAATTCCAGCGGTGAGATTGTCTCGATTAAAGTAGCATAATCTTTGAAATATCCTTGCAGCGGTCTTAACGAGCACTTCTTCCTCAAGTTCAATCCTTTATTGTTTAAAATTAAAAATAAACTACTAATAAATAGTTTTAGTTAGTATTGTATATAACAATAATTTTATTTTATTAATAAGTGTAACTGTTTGCAGAGTGTAATACAATAAACTATTTGAACTTAAAAAAAAAACAGACTATTTTCTATAATAATAAAAATTATAGTCATATTTTATTTATTTTCGTAGATCAAATAAATTATAGGGAACTAAAAACAAGTTTTAGCTAAAATGACAGTCTTTTTAACAGATTATAATATCAGTTACAAACAAAGTTTTGTTTACGAGTGGTACTCCAAGTAGTATTTAACAAGATCAGCAACGGCTTGAGTATCAGCAGCTGAGCCCGAGCGACAACAGTAAATATGTTCAGTTATAGGAGTGAGTTTGTCAGTGACTCGGTTGGCAATATAAGAGCTGTGAATATTATATAAGAAAATATAATAGCACATAAAAAAGATTATTATAAAACTTAGCAACCCTGTCGTAGTCCGAGAATCAGCACCGATTACAACACCGCCTTCAAATTCTACAGCCATTATGGTGGTCTTATAAAAATTTTGTTAATTTAGATGTTTTATAGAAAGTAGATGGATAGAGTAAATAATAATAATTTTAAAAACAACCCCAGTGAGAAGTTCGTTACTTATATCTGGCTGTTTGTTAAAGGCGACCATTATTTAAGACTAAAGCTCTTTACAGTCTCAGAAAGCAATGATATATGCTCTTGTTAATATGAACAGTTGTTCGCTGTAGAACTTAGTTGAAGACTTGATAGAATTGCCCTCACGCGAAATATACTAACATTTATCTTTCTTTTGTTTTATATTAGTTATTACTATTACTTTGTCGCTATCGTTTATTGTGGCTGGTTAAATATTTCCTCGCACGATTTACTTACGAAATGTGAAAATTACGGCTCTCTAGATGTTTCCTCCTTTGTCCCTCTTTCAGGTTATAGGCTATACATATCGACTGTAGTATGCCAGTAATATATAAACATTAAAATTGCTCTTCTTGCCAAAAGTTACGTGCATATTTGGATGCTTATAAAGCGAATTTTGTATATAATTTCTTTTACTTTTACTTTTGACCTACAGGACCTTCTTGGCCAAGTTTTCTAGGCGAGGAGCAAATATATACATGGCTGCTAGTTTAGTATTTTTAAAATCTATGAAATAGTGATAATTTGCTATATATTAAATAAATTATTCTGTAAACTTTAGATACTCAAACTAGCAGTTACTATAGAGAGTATTAATTATAACGTGAATTATTGTTTTAAACCTTATTAACAATCATAGCCCCTTTCATAAAGCTCGTAATTTTTAGGAAGCTACAGTGTTTTAAATTGATATGTCTCTATAATACTTCATTTCGGTCAATTACACTATTAACATTAAGCTTGTTATGTAGATCGTCGTCATAACTAGGATTTGTCAATAAAAAGTTTTTTAGGTAACCCGCTTAAATACGAAAATAGTTTAACACTAGTATATTTTTCTCTATTTTTTAAAAACCTACCTAATTGGTTAAAATATATTTTTTGCAAATTTACATGATTTGTCTTTCTTAAATTTAATTTTCAAAATTTATACATTTTTGGTTAACTTTTTATGATTATACTGCGCTTTCCTTTAAGTTATATTTACTAAATACAAGAGCACTACGGCAGTTCTCAACAAGGTACAAGGCACTATTAACTCTACACGAAGTAAGAAGCGTTCTAACTGCTGTAGACTTGATCAAGAGATTAAAAGATTAACTTCTTTTTAACCCTCCTATACATATGACCATACCTGATATAACCCTAAGGGAAGATAAAAATCATCAAGCTATAAATTGGTATATAATGGAAAAAACAAATAAACAAAACTATTAGGAACTTAGAAAGGAGTTGAAACACCGCTAGGAGCTTAGAAGAAAAGTGGAGTTAAGGCATAACCTATTCAAAGCTGTGCACAGGCGAGAATAGCCTTATGTTTAGAAGCATACAATAGAAATAGAAGCTTAAAACTAAAAACAATAGATTAATAGAAAAATTTGTACTTTAAAAGAACTTAGTGGAAGGCGCTTTAATATAATAATTGAAACAGAGTGAAATTCTTATAGGTAGTAAGCCTTAAATTTAAATGCTAGAATCGCAAATTTTGGATATGCCTTAGTCGCAACAAAAGTTCAACATGATTAAAGAAACTAAAGCTGGAGACGCAAGTTAGGTTATAATATACACTAGATGAGAGTCACACCTCATATAACAAGTATTGTAGTTCACATATATATAACAAAAAAACACAAAAAGGAATATAGCATATAATGCCAACAATATATGGGGCTTGTTGATAATTAAAAGCCATAAAGGTAGTCAATATTATTTCGAGTGCTTGTTTCTGAAACTAATAAATCTTATTGTACTGAATGAAAGATGATTTAAGCGCGGCGAAACTTGAGATACGCGATATTCCTATTAAAGACTTTACTTGCCCACAGAACTAAACAGTGACTACTATAGTTACTGATTTTAAATAGTAAATAGTAAATAAACAGTAGATACGCCACTTGAGGCTATTGCGGTCAAAAAATAACTTGTTTAACTGCTCCAAAGAGCTTTCTCTAAGCGTATTTTAACAAATAAGTGCACTATAACATGGTTATGAAGGTTAAGGGTGTTTTAGCTTAGTGATATAAAAACTTAATATTAAAAAAAAGAAAAAAACTTTTATTTCTTGACACGAATTACTATATTTTTACTCGAACAAGTTCAACAAACCTTAACATCTCGAGCTCTCAAACAAGGGGAATTACATATATATACTATCTGCTAGCGTTAAAACTCTAACCTCAAACCTAAAAATAGCAAGCGCTCAAAGCGCGTCATGCAGACGTCGAGAGCGTGCACCGTCAAAAGGCTCGTAGGTAAACTCAATTATTAGAAAGTTATTCTGCCCGGCTAGCCGTCCTTATATGTCGACTGTTCTTATGCTGGAAAACCGTACACAGTGACTACAGCTTCCAGAAGGTTACATATAAATATTATTTTTACTTGACAAGCACAATTTTTAAAGGGTTAATTAAACAGAGGAGCGTAATAGACAACGTAATTATAATATCAATAAACGAGCTCGAGATATTTTCCATTACATTAGCTGGGTTATTTAAAGTTCAGGATTCTCAAACCTTAACAATGCAGATAGTTAAACGAAATAAAAAGATAATAGGCAATATAACTTTTTACGTTCAATCAGCAACAAATTAATTAACTTACATGTTTTACTTGCTGGAGAGGTCTTATAAGTTACCTACAACTCATTACTTTCAACTGAGGTACTAACCACAATTACGTAACTATAAGTCTGGAAAGATTTAACTTAGATGGAGTTGACATTTTTAGAAAATTGAAACCAACGATCGACGAATTGCAACTCAGTCGAAGAACGCATGTCCAGGGGTTGAACTCTAAAGCCCTCCATTTTAAAGTACAGTTCCTGCTGTATAGGCCTAAAAAGACAGAAGACAAAGAGTTTTGCTAGCATATAATTTTTTAAGAATAGTTTTTTATATTACGCAATATAATAAGAATTTATAATTTACTAAGCGAATGGTTAGTAAACATAGCAACTAACCTAAGCTTATTAATATGAGGTCTTATCTTGTTCTGGTAGATTTTCGTTAAATACACCTTTAAGTTTGAAGTGTAGAACATTTGGGAGCTGTCCTCAATTACACTTAATCGGTTAACCGTTTTTTAATTGATATTAGTTAAAAAATGGCGCTTTAGGCAGTTGAGCTTGGAGGTGACGACTCCTTCTTTTTCTTAATTCAACTAGAAAGCTGCTTTGCGCCAGCTTGCATTCTTCCGTCTACATCCTTTAAAAAAACTTTAGCTTCTCCAGTTCGTAATTTTCATTATTAGAATCAGTTAAATTTTCTATAATGTTGCCAATTATGACAAATACACTTTCTCCGTAGCGGAAAACAGTGTCAAATGTTAATATTACTTTTGTTTTTGTAGACTCGTTCATCTCGTAATTGTTATCGCGATCAAAATTTTCAAGTTTATCACAATTAGTCCAAACCTTGATCTTCTAGAAACTTGAGACTTGATGAATTAATTATGCAGGTATCGTAACCTTGATCCCGCGGATAACATGGAGCATTAGAGTTTCAGGCATCTTTGCGTATCTTATATAACGAGGTCAAATTGAAAACTTTAGGGCATTAAACATTGTAATATTTGCTCAAGTACCTCCCCATTATTTTTATTAACAGTGAGGTCGTCTTCGTCGCTAATGTTGGTAACTCCGGGAAGATCTACCAAAGTAGCGTTGACCTTTAGCCTCAACCACTATTGTATGATCATCGCTAAAAAGTTTTTCAGGTTTAACGCTATGACCTGCGCTCGGTAAGCTCCACCAACTCTTTTCCCTTTCCATCTTACAAATTAATAATTTTAATAAAAAGCCACGGATTTAAAGTAAGTACTCAAAGATTATGTAATATGGTATTAGACCTTTTCAATACTACCATCAGAAGTAACCACGTTGCCTTTAAAGTTTAGAAGGGAACGCCTACTCGGAGTGCATCTGTTCTTTCCATAAGAATCGTGGTGGCATCCCTGGTACAAAGATTAGCTGAATGCGGTGATTGGACTACCAGATATTCGCCTAATAACAGAGCTTTTTCCTGGTTTTTTTTTATATTTAAATGTTATTTATTAGTTTTATTACCATAGATACTATATATAACCTGAAGATTGGTGGCCGCACACGATAAATTGAGGTAGTTGAGATAAAATTATCTCACGGATTTGAGATCATATTGAATGATGGCCAAAAGTTCGTTGCAAATTTCATCAATCACGTCGAGTTGATTTCTTAAGTTAGATGAGCCCAGCCCGAGTTTATTCCGTTATCTAAGTTAATGTTACTTATAAATTTATTTAGCATTACTTTACAAAACCTAAGTTTGCATCGTCCTAATTCGACACTTTTCACAAACAAACTCCGAAGAAGGCGTCAGACATACCCCTAAAACTGTAGCTTGGTGACTTATATCCGAGTTTTAGTTAATATTAAGATGTTGATCTGTTATGTAAAATATCTTTGTTAGTTACTAAAGTGGCTAACGTTAATGCAAACCCTAGTTTTTTATATATAATGTATTTTCTATTTTTAAAATTAATAACTTATACTCAGTAAAGGACCATTCCGTTTTTCCAGGCCCTAAAAATTTTTATAAGGTGGAAATAACTTACAGGGAAAAATTATTTAATGCGAATATTTTATATGCTTAAAAAAACTAAATTCCTATATAGCGTATTTTAGAAAAGCTAGTTATGACAGGCATTTGTAAATAACTAAATCCTTAATATATTCATTGTTTAACAGGGCATTTTATTGTCAAGCACACCATAATATTTTAGATTGTTAACAACCGTTCCCTTTGTAACATTATTTTAAGGATAGCATGCCTGTAAACGTCACTATGTCATTTAAACAACTTTAACTAATTATAAATCTAAGTATTCAATAAATTTATTTGGTTTCACCAACAGATAAATTAAGGTAGTTTTACAATCTTATGATTTTAATCTTAAATTTTATAGATATTGAAAGTTAACTTAACCTTATTTTTTAATGATAAAAGTAATTAGTCAATTGAGAATATTTATAAAACTTATTTAATGCTAGTTGTTGAGAAAATTAAGTATAACGTAGTTGCTAGATTGAAAAGTTTACGTTATGTCTCTTACATTGTGCACTAAAATATTTTAAGACGGGAGGGCAGACAATATTATAACTTTGAGTTTAATACAGGCACTATCTCTTATATTTGTAATTTTGTACAAAATCAATGCGTTTTAATTGCAAGCAGGTATTATGCTCAACTCTTGGGGCGGTCTCCCAGACTATTTAAAAGGCTATCATTCGCTCGAGAAAAAAGAATCTGTTTAAGAAATTTAAATAGCGTTAAAAAAACCGACCGTGTTAAGTCAGTTCCAAAAAATAGGCAGTTTGGGTAGTATAAGGGATTAATAAAATAACTATCTTTTTCTTTCAAAAAAGTAGTAAAAAAATTAATAATACTTGTTATAATAATAGCACCAACGGTAATGTGGAACAACAATATCGTAGATGTATCTTGTTAACAATGCTGTTAACAGTAATAGTAGCAACAAAATAGTAGTACTGGTACTGAAATATATTATTTATATATAAATAAAAAACAACCTTTGTAATGGTAAGTTCAATTTGCAGTTATTACTATTAAATTTAAAGTGAAGGACAAGTAATATCTAATCTTATGATAAAACAATTCTTTCAACTCGAATTAAAAAAAAAGGTAATTTGAGAAATCAGTGTATACTATCCTTCTAAAGATGACCCCGTAAAATTAGTGAGACAGCTCGATAAAAAGTATTTAATAGTTTAGCACATCGCAAAAGATTAGCTCTATTACATAAAGAAAAATAGTGCATAAGATCATACAACAT